ACTAAAATATCCAATAATTATTCACAGTGAAATAAGACCAATACCGTGAGCTTATTATCCTACCTGGCAAGAAATCAATTCAAAAATTTCTACAAAACTAACGTTCATAGCTTTCATACAAATATCCTAAAAAAACTAATGAAAATCATAGCATTATGAGAAGAACTGGAAGACTACTCACTGTGTTTCTCTAATCAAGAAGCTCTCCTTGAACACAACTACCGGAAGCATCTCCCTCACTTCCTTCTTTATGCCCGATTCAGAATTATACTGAAATCAGATTAGTAAAGGAACAATAAATAAATAAATAAATTATCATTCTTGGTAACTTTACTTAAATGAACAAATCAATGCTTACTCTTGGGATCTCTCCTCTGCTCAAATTTGAGGCTCTCATCCTCATAGATTGCCAGCTGGCTCTCCTCCTCCTCAAGTAGAAGACCCAGAAGAGCAACAAGAGAATGAAAGTGAAGAAAACTGGCACTGAAAAGATAAAAGCTTGGTAGAGCTTCAGCTCAGGGGAAGCAGTTGAACAGAAAGCCGGCTGGTCCGAAGAATTACAAGACATCACCAAAAAAAAATCCTTAAAAAAAAAAAACTTGAAATTTACACCTCCACAAAAAATCTGTGGAGCCTATGGACAAATTTAAGAGAACCCAATAACAAATTAACTTCAAAACTTGAATATATGAAATACCCAAAAAGATGAAGTTTTCATTGGAAGAGAAGAGGAATCTCTGGTCAGATCTCAAGAGATGATATTTATTTGTGGTCTCGCTTGTTTTGAGTAGAATAAAGAATGATTAAGTACGACAAGGACATTTTGATTGGTACGAGTACATGAAATAAACAAATGTTGGATTTTTTTTTTTTTTAATAAACTGAGGGAAACAGTTGTTGAAATGAAAATTGCATAACATGTTAGGATGCTAATTTTGTTGCCATGTTTAGATATAAAATCAACCGTGGTAGTTGCCATTTTGATTGGTACTAGTTTTTTTTTTTTTAGGGGCTGTTTCGTTCGCTATTATAAGGTGTGGAAAACTCAGAAAACCCCTCCACGTCAGATTTTTAGCCCTCCACGTCAGCTTTTTTGTTTCCGTCCATTTCTTTGTGCCGCTTTGGTTCGCTCGAATGGAAGAGGGAAAACTCTGCTGAAATCGCCGCCAACTAAGATTTTTTTCCCTCTCCGATTTCCTTCCCCAACCAAGTGAAATTGATGAAAACTCTGCCACGTTAGATTTTTTTCCTTCTCTGCTTTGATTTCCTTCCCCAACCAAGTGAAATTGATGAAAACTCTGCCACGTTAGATTTTTTTCCTTCTCTGCTTTTTTTACAAAAGTTTTCCTTTTTTTTCTATGCAAACCAAACACAAGAAAAATAAATACATTGGTTTTCCATCATTTTTTATGTGCGAACCAAAGCAAAACAATCTATTTCTTGAAAAAGTTTGGAAAACTCAAAACTTGTGTTTCTTTACATTGAATTGCATTTCTCTATATCAAGGAAACGAACCAAACAGCCCCTTAAAGAAAATAGAAAGTTCATGTTCTGTTGGAGGCGTTGGGGGCATGAGTCGTGACTTGTTATGGTGGCTTCTTTCTTATTTAGCAAAAAAAAAAATTAGGTGTTCTTTTTTTTCAAGGAAACAGGTCACCTCTATAATCTTGAAATATTTCAACAGAAACAACATTTTGAGCACATTAGTTTATCAACTACCATCCAACAACAACCGCCGTGATTCATAAATTAACAAAGCTCCATATCCAGAGCATAGGAAGTAGACCCTTCAGCTACAATCACCAACGGTACTAGAATTTTGGCACGTGCATTTGCACGTGCTGCAAAATATGAGAATTAAAACTTTGAACCCTGATACAATTGGTAGGATGATGCTGCAGATACTTTACTTAGTTGTATGTATGGCTTAAAAATAACTAATAATATTGTCCAAGGTGAATGTATTTGTACACAAAATAAAGAGAAAAGAATGAGATCCTTTTCATTTAAAGAAATGTTAGTTTTTTATTTGACAAAATTTAGCAAAAGTTTCTTACAGTTTTTCTACATGAAAAAAAAAAAATTGTGCTACATGTAGAGGGGAAAGAATGAAGGATAAAATGTATTGACCAATGCAAATAAAATTC